ATCCGCTAGAGTGACCTCAACAATAATGGCATGTTGCGGTTTTATGCATCGAAGCGTGCATCAGTATGCATTGTATGGAAAAGCCTTTCCATAGAAGAACGATGTGGTAATTGCATTGTCTGAAGTACGACGCTCTGTAATGGATGTTCGCGTTAAGAGAGGCGCAGCTTACTCAGGGCTGCTGCCAAATTCTGTAGATTCAAACGGGTTGACCTGCCGCCTTGAGGTCAGAAACAAATTTCCTGGTGGTCATTGGATGTATAACTGGCTGTCACCAAAAGGAAGGCTGCGTTTAAGAGATGGCTTGGAAGCAAGGAACCCTAAACTCGCAAGCGGTATGAAGAAGCGCGCATGACGGCAGTGAAAGCAGTGGTGAGGTCTGAAGTTGATTCCCGGGAGTAGTTTTGTGAGAGGTGTGGGAGTCGAATTTCCAGACGGCAAATAAGGTATTTTGGCAGACCATCCTCTGCCTCTGAGGTGAAAAGAAGGGCAGCCTAAAAGTTTTAAAGGACAAGTACAGACACCCTTTTACCAAGGACGAGGACATACTCAGACGATGGGAAGTGTCCCTTGACAGACTCCTTAACCTCGAGCAACCGCAGGAAGACTCGCTAGTAGAACAGCAGGAACCCAGTGTTTAGTATTTCTGTAGATGAAATCACACAAGCTGGGAAAAGCTTGAAAACTGGAATGACTGCTGGAATTGATAAAATCTGACCTGAAATGCTCAAAGCAGTAGGCGAATTAGGCAAGTACTGGATTACGCGTGTGTACCGAATTTCAGTGGCTATGGAAAAGACACTAACGGACATGATTCTTAGATTAAAACTGAAACTTCGATCTCTGGTACAAGTGGTTAAAATGGGCTTTCTGAAAGGAATCATCTCGACATGGTCCGGAGTACGGGAGTCCGAGAGAGCGTTGGTGTATGTTTTGCAGATTGAGAAGTGACAGCTGCGATGGTTTAGGCACGTGTTGCGAATGCCTCCAGAAAGCAAGGCGATTCAAGTAATTTTTGCTCGGCCGACCAGCAGAGTGCCCATAGGACGGCTAAGACTGACCCGGTGCAAGTGTATCATAGGAGATTGTTCCAGATTCCAGTTGTCTTCTGCCGAAGCTCAAATGCTCGGAAACGTTGGAAGCACTCTCCTATGCGTCTGCCTCGCGACTCGATAGAGAACTGGTCATGGAAAATGATTGAATAAATATCAGATGCGGTTGTGGATAAAATAAAATGTAGCCCAGATAGCCTGGTTTAGCTACACGAATGGCAGCGTTTTGAAAAACACGTCGTTTTGAAAGTTACTTACTTACAGTTGTTGAGTATTGTTGTATTTTACAATGGAGTAGGTACTCTTCAGTGGAAGTTTTCAATACGTTCTGGCACTGGGTATTAGTTGATCTAAATAATTTTTTTCGTTAAATTATTTAAACGATTTTGCATCTCATGATGTTGAGCGACCTAAAAGTAAGTGGAAGCCAGGTACAGTTGATCTTTCATTTTTTGGTGACGAGATGTTTTGATACCGAGTCATCGAGAGTTTCTCCTGGATGCTTCCCTGTGGACAGTAAATTTCTATGACTTATTTCTAACCCATTTCTTAGTGCTTTGAATATTGGCGGAAATAGGATTGGTTGCAAGCGCATTACATTGAGCATTCAAGCAGTGTGCATTTATTGTCAGTTTTTATTGTGGTGATATTTTTATTAGAAACTCATAAAGCTCATTTGCTAAGGCTATAATACGGTTGATCCATTGATTTGACCGGATGGATACGTAACGAATTGAAATCGTTTCAGGACTGGCAACACATCGTTGATTTCTACTATTGCCGCTTCTTACGCCGCCTGTTCCCTCACTAGAACCTGTGGCAGTATGGCGTACGAAACTTATGGCCGCTCATTGATCACGACGAACCTAATAGAACGTATTCACGACGCGTTCACTCAACTTTTTGAATAACCTCAAGTGGTTGCTGTTTTGCTCACCAACCGTTC